GGACACTTTTTTCCCTTCTTGTGTTCGATAGGTATGTTGTCAAAACCCTAATTTTTTAGAAAGTCTTCAGAAATAGGGGTTAGGTTTTAAAGTTTGCTGTTTGTGAATGGTTATAGGTTGAAAGTTCAATCTTTGTTCTCGAAGATGATGACCTTCAAATGGAGCCCTAGCGTATCAATATTGAAGAAAATCAAAAGCGACCAATAAGTATCAATGTATTCATGTAATTGTTCTTGAAATGGTAATTGGATTAAAGAATTTAATCCAATTTAATTGATTCAAATCTCTACAGTCTGACTGAATGTAAAAGGATAAAGGAAGCTCATAATCATGTTGACAACATAGCTAATAAAACCCCTTGCAGGGTCCAAATTGTAAGCTAGGAATTGATATGGTAAGCATTATTTGAGGGTTTAGGGTTTAGAGCCCTCCAACGTAATGAGTGCATGATTGAACATTACGTATAATAGTTGTATTCATTTGTTGAAGAATTGTTCTTAATTTTTTTTATATAAGGATAGTTGTTATGATATACGTTCACGTTTCGGGAACAATTAGTTAGATGCGTGCAGTAGCCTATATCCTCGAGGCAGTGCACAAGAAAAGTGGCACTTAAAGATTTACCAAGAGCGGTAGCTTTTTCTGTGCATGAAGACCGAACCTAGAATCAACTTTGCAATTATGCCTATCATACTATAGAAAACCTGCTGAATAATAAGATTTGCACACAACTGCAAGCATTTTAAACCTTAAACCCAACTAATCACATGGAAAATTAAGCAATAGAGATGTCAAAGATTTTATGGGAAATCCTGACATCTCAGTTGTATAATTTTCCATGCGAGGAGTTGGGTTTAGCGTTTAAAATGCTTGCAGTTGTGTGCAAATCCTATTTTTTAACAGGTTCTCTTCAGCGTGATAGGGATAATTGCAAAGTTGATTCTAGGTTCGGTCTTCATTCATAGCAAAAGCTACAGTTCTTGGTAAATATTTAAGTGCCAGATTTCTTGTGCTCTGCCTCGAGGATATAGGCTACTACACGCATCTAACTAATTGGTCCCAAAACGTGAACGTATATCATAACAACTATCCTTATATAAAAAAATTAAGAACAATTCTTAAACAACTGAATACAACTATTATACGTAATGTTCAATCATGCACTCCTTACGTTAGAGGGCTCTAAACCCTAAACCCTCAAAGGAAGCTTGCCTTACCAATTCCTAGTTTACTATTTGGAACCCCATGTTTTATTGGCTATGTAGTCAACATGATTAACCAACATAATCTCAGTTACATAAATGATTCCGGCTATGATTGTGGGAGACTATAGTCTACAGATTGTTTTCCATTTATGTGATGATGAGGATGAAATATTAAATGGTCTCGTAATCCATAATCAAAATAGACTAAGAGAGGAAATTTTGTTAATGTAGGGTTAATTTTGTATAAGATTTATAATTTTGTATGTGAATGTAATTATGTATGAGATAAGAAAAGTTAGCAATAGGTTGTTGTACATGTTTCTTATACACAAATGGAGTCATGTTGATACTTACGATATATAGAGATCGTTGTCATTACATGCAGGACTAAATGGCCATTCCATTCCATCTATAAAAAAATCAGTTGATGTAGGTTGTGTGCTTGTATTCAAACTAAGCTTGACTTGAGGACATGTTAGTTTGTTATGTCCCTCACTGTTGCAGTACCCATATCGCCTAATTTTCTTCTCGACCTTGTTATTCGATACTTCTTTTCGCTTGCGTTGTTTTCGTTGAAGGCTGCAAACGTTGTTTACTACACTGCTCTGGTTGACTGAATCATTCAAACCAAACGAGTTTTCAAATTCTTCTATTAGTATTTTCATCTCATCTCTTGCGGTTTTGAAAGACGCGTCTGTCTTTGATGCAATGTATCATAACTTACTTGACATTGAACGTAGAGCAGCGAACCTTGCCATTTGCATCACTTCTAGAGGCACATTCAAGTCAACATAACTAGGTGCAGAAGCCTTTGCATCCTTAGTCCACCTACTTTGAATCAAATTCTTGGACATCCTTAATCCAAGTGCTTCAAAATGTGAAGTTGATGGCGACACGAAAGTCCAACAGTCTTAAATTTTTTGTAGGAGGAAATTAGGGTTTTCGTACGAGAATCAAAACTAATTTCAAATGTCCTATTTTTTCTTTGTACTTTGTCAAAATATAATGTTGACATTCATCTGATAAGGACTGAATCTCTTCCTCAATCCGGTACAATGTCTCCTGTTGAAGTTCATCTTGGAACGCACGAAAAGATTCACGGGTAAAAATCTCAGCAGCATGGCTTTTAAGGTCGACCAGTTTTGTGATCTGGAAGGGCTTCGTTTGGGAACTTAAGTAATCCGCTTTCACCTCGTTCATACGCATTCTACTAATTCCATCTTCAATTGCATGAACAACATCTAAATATGTCTTCTTGTGTTTTAGTGCAATCGCTGGTAAAGCATTCATAGACTCACACCTTTGTGTTGAGCGAATATTGGCAAAGAAATGACCGGTTAGATATGATTGTGCCCATAAGTGTCGAGTATTTCTATTCTCAATTACCCATTGATGCTTTTCGACATTGAATTCTGAAACAACCAAACGCCATTGAATATCAAATTCCTCGGTTGTCCACCAGGAAGACATGCATTTTGAGAATGTTGCTGTAAATTTTGGGTCACCAATGTTAGCTTGTGCATTGTGAGAAAGATGCCAAGAACATAATTTGTACTTAGCATAAGGGATAATAGATTTGATAGCCCTTTGCATTGCCCTATCCCATCGGTGACAACTGAAATAGGCGATTTATTCATCATGGCTTCTAAAAAATTCTGTAGCACCCACTCGAAAGATTGGGAGGTCTCGTCAGCGATTATGGCAGTGGCAAACACAATTGTGTTTTGGTGATGATTGACACCGAAAGTAGGCATAATTGGTCGACCATACAAATTATCTTTGTACGTTGTGTCGAACGCAATTACATCACTGAAGCATGTGTAATCTGATCTCAATGTAGAATCCGACCAAATAAGATTATGCAATGCCCCTGATTCATCTATCGAGTATGTCATAAAAAAACCCGGGATCATCATGTTTCTTATAATCAAAGTAAGCAATAAGCGCGTTCACATCCCCATCGACGATTTCCTTTGCTTTACCTCTTTGAAGTGCATTGTAGAGGTCTTTATGTGTAAATCCAACATTATGATATCCCCCTACCTGCTGCGTTAAACAATTCATTACTTGTGACGTGCCAACACCGACCTCTTTCAATATTGTTGCCTCATCGATATCAACCTTACTTACAGCTCTATTAGAACGCATAAATGGTGTCATAGCAGGTGTGCACAATGCATAATTATGTTTCTGATAAGACTTACTTATAACCCAGTGATCGTTTGTATATGTTGATGTAACTACGACTCTAGCCTTGCATCATGTTCTTATAACTGGCGTATGAGCACATTGACGGTCAACGGTATTGACTTTTGATACTCGAAACCCTTCTTTGGAACAACAAAATTCTTGTGTCTTCATATTCCCCTCCACGTCAAGCCGTGTCGTTCCCTTACGTGCACTAAACCCACGAATCCCTTGTAAAAGTACCAAGCTTGATCACGTGAAGAGAAAAGCTGACCAACCAATTTGTCATATTCATCAACATTATGTACTTCATGGCATTCCTCGGTTGGCTTAACATTGTCTGCATCAGTATGATTCATGGCAAAAATTTTGTTGTGCAAGTTTAGTGGTCCCGGAGTTGATGGAGATGTAAGTAAAGGTTCATTGAACATGTTTCAGTCGTGCTTTCAATAGGATGTGGTATTGGTAGTGGTAGTTGAAGGGTGGGTACAACATTAAATTCGCAGGACATATTTAGGTATGTACAATAACTAGCTAAATATGTGTCGATACATTTCCTAAAAGTATTGACCCCAAAAACATCAAAACCAATAATTATAATGTAATAGGTAAATTAACAATGTAACCGATATAAATATACCGGTTAATTAGAAAATATGTCAACATAATGTATTGACACTTTTTTAATTTGTGTCAATACTTATTGTCCAGAATATAAAGTGTCGATACATTTATTAAAAGTATCGATCTCAATAACATCGAAAACAATAATTATAATGTAATATGTACATTTATAATGTATCTGGTAAAAATATACTGGTTTTATAAGAAAATAGGTTAGCATAAAGTATCGACACTATTTAAATTTGTGTCGATACGTTTTGTTCATAATGAATGCCAAATGGAGTGCACGCATAAAGTGTCGATACATTTATTAAAAGTATCGATACCACAAACATCGAAACCGATAATTACAATGTGATAGGTAAATTTACAATGTACCCGATAGAAATATACCGGTTTTATGAGAAAATAGGTATAAATAATGTATCGACACTTTTTAAGTTTTTGTCGATACTTTTTTCCAAAATGAATGCCCAACGAGGTGTATGCATAAAGTGTCGATACATTTAAAATTGTATCGATCCAAAAAACATCGAAACCGATAATTATAATGTAATAGGTAAATTTACAATGTTACCAGTATAAATATACCGGTTTACTTAGAAAATAGGTCGATATAAGCGCTACCTATTACATTATATAAGCGCTACCTATTACATTATATAAGCGCTACCTAATATGTTATTGTACTTGATAATATTTCCGGTTAAATGTCTATTTTATTATATAAGCGCTACCTATTACATTATATAAGAGCTACCTAATATGTTCTTGTACTTGATAATATTTTCGGTTAAATGATATAACATAACCGGTCTAAATTTTAACCGGTCACGCCGTATTTTAGGCACGGCACCGCAGAAGTTCCCTGTGTATTGTGGTGCACATTCATTGTAGAAAGAAACTTCTTGATTTCTGGTTGCTTTTGAATTTTTTTTTCATTGCAAGTTTTTTTCCCTTAAAGAAACAAACCTCTGTTGGGTTGGAACAATGAGGAGGCATGTATAAAATTAGTCTCTTCATGACTCAACATTGCGGTATATTAAAATCGAAGGCCGAGATATCGTTTCAGTCGTCGTCTTTTCTTCATTAACTGTGTGATTGTTGCTCGTCCACACTTTTTAAACCCCTTTTTGTCCTGGGGTTTTCTTTGTGTGTGTAATTAGGAAAAAGAAATACAGCTAATAACAAGTGTTTGAAAAAATACAAATGTGAAGATTTTATTTTTGAAAATAGCGGTCTGAGATAGAGTCACATTAATAATAGAATTGCATCGTTGATTGCACTAAACAGTACAAAATAACCCTTTTCTAGGCTTTGAGTGACTAATAACCTATCTATAATATATCGGTTCATGAAGCAGCAGGCGACTGATATGGGCATCAAACTTAGAATTGAATCAAAGTAACCCCTTGGGAGAACTTAACCGATCGGTTCATGATGCAGGCGACAAAGTGAACATCCAGGGTTGCATCTAGGGATGGGTTTGGGTCAGTTTTTTTGTTAACCTGACCTGAAAATTTTACATTTTGCATCCAATCTAAAACTGATCTGATTTTTTGAGATAAAATATGAACTTGACCATAATTGAAATAATATATTAATTAAAAATATTATTTTTTAAATAAAATTATAGATTTAATTGAAAAAAATAATATGTGGAGGAGAATTATTTTAATTATTCGTAAATATATAAGGTATAATTATATTTTTTGGGTTGGGTCAAATATTTTTCACTATAAACTTGAATCTGACCCGAACATAATATTTAAAAAATTCGACTTGATTTGACTCAAATCCGAATTTTTTCAAAATAATTTTACTCAATCGTGTTGAATTCGGATCGGAATCCGTCGTGTTCGGGTCCTGTTGCATCCGTATATTGCACTAGCCAATACAGAATGCCACTCTTCAAGGCTTGAAACGAATCTGACCTTTCGACTCATCAGTTAATGAAGCATGCGACCATATAAAAACAAATAGCATGTAAATTTGCTAAATCAATGTGCGTATAATGCCGAGCCATTACGGTGTATGCGAGCTACAGCTTGAAATAGTAAATTGTCCACAATTCTACATCGTAATTATATATAAAAATTGACAAACTAGCCTACATATAAATTGATTTGATCAAATGGTGTACCAAAGTTGCAAAGAGTTTTGTTGACATTGTTTTCGTTCGGGTCAGGCCAAACTTCACTCGTCTGGTTAAAATACCGTTCTCAGCTCCACAGTATCACCACCCACTTCACTCATCTTTAGCAGCAAGCCACATTCTGTCAACCATCAACTTGTAGCAATTCACTAACACCATGATCACCAAAACCAGCAACCCGTTATATCCTCATTAGGGATTTAAATTACTGTAGTGGTTGCATTTTTGGTCCCTACTAGAGGGAAATATCAACAGACAGATATATCAATTTTGATTAATTATCGTGAGGCATCTGGCTAAAATTCAGGGCGTCCTCTGTAACACCCCAAATTTTGGGCTAGTAATTACGGGTTTCCCCGAAAAGTAAATAGACCTTGTAGAATTTGTAATTCAAGTTGTTGGGTTTAATTGGGTTGGTCTTAGGATTAATTAACCATAAAGAGGGGATTTTTGCATAGTCAAAAGATAAGGAGAGACAACATGTTTTTAAAAGATGAAGAGCTTTCATTTTCTTCCTCCTTTCTCATTCTATCTCCTTCCTCATCGTCCCCAATGTCCATAGCATAAAGGTAAGATTTTGAACCCATTTTCATGCTTCAAATTCGTTCTTAATTCCCCCCAATAACATCATAGTAATAGATCAAGCTTTGGGCTCCATGTTTCCAAGAGAAAAATTGGGGTTTTCATCCAAGCAATGAAGAAGAGTGATTTTGAGCTAAAGGAGCTCAATTTCAGGATTCAAACAACAAGGTAGTGTATTTCTAATCCTTTGGAGTACTAAGTTTCCATAAATTTCAAGAATTTGCTAGGATTTAAACTCTTGAGCATGTTTAGGGTTTATCTTTGATTTTATGATTCAACCATGTTTTAAGTGTTAAAAATGTGTTTTTAAGACACCTTAAAACCCTAAACAACTCACTAAAACTTCAGAACAAGATTAGAAACCAACCCAAGTCATTTAGGATAATTTTAGGTGTTTTCTTGAGCCTAAAGTTTATCTTTGATTTCATGACTCAACCACATTTTAAGCGTTAAAAATGTATTTTTAAGACACCTTAAGACCCTAAATAACTCACTAAAACTTCAGAACAAGATTAGAAACCAACCCAAGTCATTTAGGATAATTTTAGGTGTTTTCTCGAGCCTAAAATATTAGTTTCAGAGTTTGAGTATCGATACTGGAATGAGCAATATCAATATTGATTAAATTAGAGCTAAAATTAGGGTTTTTGGATGGGAATATCGATACTGCCAAGGTGAGTATCGATATTGTCCATTCAGTATCGATACTCAGGGTAGCAATATCGATACTAAGGCCCCATTTTCGTAGCATAATGCATTTTTGGTACCGGTACTCATAGGGGTATCGATTCTTGACCCTAGAGTATCGATACTACCCTCTTTTAATGATCAGTTATGGACCGATTAAGGTCCGTAAGAGCTTTGGATGGTCCGTAATGACATAACTTAGTCTGATAGGGACATAAATGGCCAAAAGCGCCTAGAGATACTTGTATGAGTGTGCTACAACTAGTGTAACCATAGTAGACGTAATGCGTCCAAATATCTTCAGTAAGCGTGTAACAAATATTTATGAATGGAGGATCAGTGCACATGGTGTACCAATGAGAGGTGCGCCCAAGTAATAAGATTATGAGATAGTAGTGTCGTATATCGCAAGAAGGACCGAGAGTGTTGGACACATAGTTATTCCTTTAACTCGAGGGAAAATTGAGTGAAAGCATAGGATTCACGAATAGAGCATCGTTACCCATAAATGAACCCGAGTCAGATACCAGGCTAATCAAAACCGTAGTCAGTAAGAAGTAAAAACAGTAATCGTTGTGAAGTCTAGAAACGCATAGAGACTTTCCCAAAGTCATAGAATGACTAAAATATCGTTGAGTAGCGTATAAGCATATCAATATAGATTATCAGAGATAACAAACTAGTAAATCCTCGCATAACGTTCTAGATCAGAGAACGAGTGAGTTAACAACTAGGGTAAATAGTAAACAAGATCAATATTAACTTAAAACAGCTAAAAACAAAAACAGTAACAATCCAAACAATAATAGTAACAACTATAAACAATAATAGCTAGGATGTCATAAAACTAGCCTTTGTATGACACTTGAGAAACAACCAAACACCCGAGTTACTTTAACAATAGGGTGATCGTCTTGTTTGTCAGTATGTTCAGATATATACCAGTCAGTGCCACGACACTTCATTTACCAAATAAGTACAAATGCCTCAAGACTCGACGAAGTAAGTTGGCGGGTGTACGTTTTCGATATAGATTCTAGATCTTACCCTAGTGGACCCGAGGGTATACCTACATGCTAGCAGGGTGCGTGAGCTCTGAGATGTAGAATGCCTGTCAAAACTTTATGTTTGTTGTTGTATATCATATATTAGCATCTGGTAGGATAGAGGGGCGTGTGAGATCTGAGATACAACCCCTCAGCCGCACCATGATGCCTACCTTAGCTAGTGTATGAGTTACAACAGAGTCAGTATTGCATTCAAATAATGCACAACAGAGTTAGTACGACATTCACATAATGCACAGTAGAGCCAGTAACACATTTAGATAATGTGTACTAGATTCAGACGTTAGGATTAGATACCCTACTTCATATATAGAACAACTAAGCCTTAAGTAGGTAGCACCTGATCTTTTTGTGAAAAGAGGTTTAGTTCTAGTTTAGCCAATGAAAACTAGGGAGTTGTAAAAGGTTACTCTTGAGCCAAAAAAAAAGAAAGAACAAATTAGTAAATTTGTTAGAAATCCTTAGTGCGGAGCTAAGGTAATGGATATAGACTTTGTTGAAAAGTCAAACGACTCTAAATCATTGTGCAAATTGTCTATTCTTTCTCTCCATACTGTTAATTTTTTATTTGGCCAATTCACCCCATTTTGGCACCATTTTTAGTTCATCAATTGAGTTTAAAAAATCCTAACAATTGGTAATAGAGCGGGTCACAATCGACACTTTAATAACCTAGTGAAGATCTTTGACATTCTCTATCAATTCCATATTCAACCGATAAAATGGCTTCGACATCCGAAGCGTACTGTCTCGAGGATTTACACTCCATCACTAGACCACCTTACTTTAATGGTGCCGACTACTTTTATTGGAAGAATAGGATGAATTTTTTCATTCAAGCTATCGACCTTATCGTTCAAGATGCCATCATCGATGGTTTTTCCATTCCTCCAAGGAATCGAAAGGATTAGACCATTGAAGACGCCCAACTCAATGTCAACTTCTAGCATGAAATAAGACATAAGATCAAAACCCCCAAAATGACACCTTAATAATTGAGAATTACTCACTTGAATTCAATCCCATAATGATACAAGACTGAAGCTTCGACTTACACAACAACGATAAATACATGGTAGAACGCCATGGGTTAACAGCAAAAAGATCACAAAAGTTTACCTTTGTCCCAAATCGCTATTAGACCCTGACAAATTCAAACTCATCATCCATTCATATCCTCTTCAGCTCCTCCACTTAAAAATCGTCCTTGATTTCTTGAAGAATAATCATATCCACCTTTTCCTCCCCGCGTAACCTTAGAACTGCGAAAACTTGTATCTCTGAGTCTAATCCCTAACATTCCAAGTTAAAACCTTCATGTCGCTTTTAGCTAAAATTGCAGCACTAACGTCCTACCTTCTGTTCCCCTTTATACCTAATATAATAAAACAATATCCCTCACCACCTATCTCAATTCCAAGATTCTTACACAAATTCAGTGATCGCCTAGCCTCTTTTGTGAGTATATTCCAGTGCGCCAATAAGTCTGAGTCCGATAGAGACGTACCTGAGATATTAGAAGATTGTGAATCTTTCTTATTCTTTTTGCTTATTCGTATTGCTGTCTCTCTTCTTCTTGTCTAGATCAGAGATTACTTAGTCCTTGAGCTGTAAAAGATAACCATAT